CTGCTGCCCCCCCCTCTCTTTCCTGCTCCCTCTCTCTCTCTCCTAATCCTTCTCTCTCTCTCCTGATCCCTCTCTCCTCTGACCCCCCCCTCTCTCTCTCCTGATCCCTCTCTCTCCTGATCCCTCTCTCTCTTGATCCCTCTCTCCCCCCTGATCTCTCTCCTGATCCCTCTCTCCCCCTGATCTCTCTCCCGCGATCTCTCTCCTGATCCCTCTCTGTCTCTCTCCTGATCCCTCTCTCCACCCTGATCTCTCTCCTGATCCCTCTCTCCACCCTGATCTCTCTCCTGATCCCTCTCTCCCCCCTGATCTCTCTCCTGATCCCTCTCTCCCCCTGATCTCTCCCTGATCCCTCTCTCTATATATACAGTACAACATACATACATACACACAATATATAAACAAGACCCGCCGGCACTTACTTGTCCTTCGGAGGAGCCGTCATGGTGAGTTATTGCCGGGAGTCTCTACAACAGACGGGAAATGGAACCTGAAAAGAAAGAAAAAAGTGTTGGGATCAGTAAGTCTCCGGTGGGATCATTAGAGGACACACATGCAGTGAGTATTACAACACTAATATGTTTCCCTGCAGTCATATTGGTTCCCCTACAATGAGCTGAAGGAAGGACTGGTGCCTGAACTCTGTGGGCTGCTTCAACACCTCCTCTAGCGCTTCCAAGTGCATGAAATATGAGGCTATCAGAGCTACAGAAGGGAGAGAGATCTGTCAGTCAGCCCTGCTGTACACTGCACCTCTTGTCTCAGCCACTACTTCTGTCAGCCGGATGTAAAATTTTAGCTGGTGTGTGTAGGAAGAAGAGAAGGGAGGGGGGGAGGGGGGCTATGGAACTTAAAGTCTATACAAAAACTTTCCCCCTTTCCTTTTAGTTGTGCATGGAAGTGTAGAAGGAAGAGACCCCCTGTGCAGGTTTTTTTTTTTTGCTGTGTAACGTCCTCTGTCATTGTCCTGGTCACCAGAACAAAGAGTGATGAGAAATACATTTTACAGTTGTCACCAGAACAGGAAGTGAGGGGGAATCCTGCAATGGGGACACTTGCTCTGACCACGACTGTCCAAGAAAGGGAGTTTCTCACTCCCTGTTGCAGTGCCAGGACAGGAAGTGAAGGGAAATCACCTCAACTCTCACAAGGGTTTAACCCTTCTCTACTCCATCCACAACTAAACACTTTGCCTTTATACATCCTTTAATATAAGGAAGATGAACAAGTGTATCTATGTACATTGTGATATGACACGGGGCGGCCATATTTGTTAATTACCTGTGCAGGTTCTGCTTCCTACTCAGTAGTGCTGCACAGTGACTGCGCCTTTTTTTTTTCCATATTTATAAAGCAGTGAATGTGCCTTTCGGCAAACAGTCACTGCAAGTGAATCTTTCTGGTGCCTTTTCCAGACAATTATTGATTCACCTGCAGTGAATGTCACATTTACAGTATGCCACCTATGTGTCCACCATTAAACACTTTTTATGTGGCCAGTCCAGTAATTGATTTTATCTCAGCAAGTAAGCGGATCGTACTTGCCAGCCGTACAGACAGCGTAAAGAGGGGAAATTACAATTCAGTTTCTGGATTCACTAGAAATATGGAAATGAAAGTAAAATAAAAGCATCCAGGAGACTCGTATAATAATTACTCAGAGAAAAGCAATGAGCTGGTTGTACGGGGACACAGCCGCTGTGACCTCTGTTCTTACAATGGAGGCCATGCGGATGGGACATCGGAGAGACTCGTCTGTTCTTATCAGTGTTCAGGAGGGGAAAGGAGCCGCTGTACCGGCCTAATGGCTTGTATGGATGGAATCGGAGTACTCTGACTGGTAATGGGGGTCCTAAAGGGTCCTGAGTATGGGAAGGAAACCGAATTAAGCGTCCACTCACATAAGAGTGGGAGTCGGGAGTACTTCCCTAGTGCTAGGACCTGGCAGGGCCCAGTTCCTCCTGATCTGAATTGGTCTACCTTGTCTGGCCATGGGCTGGGAAGGCACGAAGCCTGCGGTGTTCATGTGCCCCCTGGGAGTGGTGACCCGGTGGTGCCCAAGTAGCACTATGGGTTTGGGTCCCCACTGTGTGAAAGGCACGTTGGCTACGACACAACTTGTTTTTGCTGCGCATCGCCTCTCGGGCTAGGCCTTTTGGCTAAGACCAGGGGTCATTTTTTATTACCGAGCCGTAGTCTCGCACTTCGGCACTTATTTATTTTTTCTTCACTTTGTATGTGCACTTCACCTTTTTGATGTGTTTTTCACTCCACAGGATGGAGGGTGCGGGTCTTCTGGCCTAAGCTGAAGTCTAGGGGGAGCATGTGTGGCCATCTGGTTCCTTCCTCCCCTGATCGGGGGTCTCCTTTTGGGGGAGCCCTCAACCTAGTGCTCGGTGGTCGGCTTCGGCTAACCATGAGGAATGGATCCGCCCAGCTGGACACGAGTGCCTTGCCGCTGTCAGGAGCCTCGCGCCCCAGGAGGGGGTCAGGGAATGGGCCCTTCCTTTTCGGGAGGAGGACCATAAGGCACACCCTTTGTGCACTTGTTTGGTTCACTTTTTGGGTGTTTCGATGCACGCACTGCGGGCTTGAAAAAAAAATTCTTATTACTGTACATGAATTCTAAATCAGTCTCCTGTACAGCAGCACTCAGACTGGGAAAGAGAGGTGCAGCACCAATAGCCAATTAGGTGCTGCTGCATGCACATGTGCTGCCAGGTTAAGGAGCAGAGGGAGGACTTATGACTGCATTGCTGCTCCTTCACTGCCCAATCAGCAGAGGCAGTGGGTGTGTGTTCATGAACAAGCTGTGCTGCTGTTGCACTGGATGACTCAGGAGGACCAGCGGGCTTATTTCTCCTTATGGCAGTAGAGGTGCTGATATGTGTGTAAAATGTGAATGACAGGTTCTCTTCAATTCTCCAATGTGTTTGTGGCCCGTGTTGTGTTCTACATACATGTGTAAATGGCAGATTAATGGTCTATGGTCTTCTTTCCTTATAAATATAAGAGGACACACCCTGTAAGTAACCATACAGCGTGTAAAAGCACACACCTACATGCAAGGTCAACGCGATAACAGATTCAAGTGCGTTTGATAAAGCCGTTCTGTGGAAGTGCAGCTACGTGAAGGAATATTGATTGTCTTAGCAAGAAATAGGGAGCTGATATGTCTTGGTGGACCTTGGAATGGCTGTGATAGTCCAGTGAGGAAGAAAGCCTGGAGCTCATGGTGTACCAGATGGTACCAGCTCTGTACGAGGGGTGATGGGAATGGAAGAGCTCCCACTACTGGCAGGAGGGGGGAATCGCAGGCCGAAAAAAACACCTTTTTCCCTTGGGCAGCGAGAGAGAAATATGGCTCTTTGGCAGCGATCTCCCCTTCAAAACATCTGCACATAATCAGTAACTTTCCACTCTGTGCGCACAGAGATTTCACCAGATGGCTATTTATTGTCTGTGCATCCATCAGAAAACAGAATGTCAGCTCCCTGCACAGATATGAGGGACCCCTGACACCTCTGTAACAGAGACGAGGGACCCAAAGAGGGACCCCTCACAACCTGTAACAGAAAGGGACCCTTGGGACAGAGAACAAGGGACCCTAGGCACCCTGTGACAGATAAGAAGTTTATTTGCACCCTGTTATAGATCAGAAAGGTCCCTGACACTGTGTTACAGAGAAGTGGGGCCCTTGACACACTTTAATAAATTAGAAGGTCCCCGACTCCCCTTGCAAAAAGTGACCCCTGGAGAGAAAAAGGGGCCCTAGGCACCCTGTGACAGATAAGAGGGTCCTTTGCACCCCGTTATAGGATCCCTTACACTGTGTTACAGAGAAGTGGGGCCCTTGACACACGTTAATTAGAAGGTCCCCGTCTCCCCTTGCAAAAAGGGACCCCTTGGATCTTGGGGCAGAGAAAAAGGGGCCCTAGGTACCCTGTGACATATAAGAGGGCCCCAGACATCCTACTTTAGATACGAGGGACCCCTGACATGCTGTTATAGATAATAGGTAGATAAAAGGGCCATGGACATCTTGTTTTGAATAACAGGGGCCCCTAACACTCTGCTATAGATAATAGTGTCCTAGACACCTTCATATCGATTAGAGGGGTCCCTGACACCCTGTTATAGATAAGTAGGGCCCCTGACATCCTGTTATAGATAAAAGGGCCATGGACAACTTCTTTTTTTTTTTGAATAACAGGGGACCCTAACATTCTGCTATAGATAATAGTGTTCCAGGCACCCTAATATAGATTAGAGCGGTCCCTGACTCCCTGTTTTAGTTAAGAAGGACCCCTGACACCATTATAATAACAAGGGCCCCTGAATCCCTGTTATAGTTAATAAGGGCCTGTGACACCTTGTTGTAAATAAGAGTGCTCCGGATGTGCTGTTATAGATAAGAGGGGCCCCTGGCACCTTGTTATAAATAAGGGGGGCCCCAGACATCCTGATACAGCTAAGCAGATAAGGGGATCCCCTGCCAGTCAGTTATAGATAAGAGGGGGCCCTGGCTCCCTGTAATAAATAAGAGGGCCCCCAAACCCTGTTACAAATAAAAGGAGCCCCTGACACACTTACACTCCACTATATTTCAGAGGAGGAGGGGTCCCTTGAAGCCCAGTTGCTGCACAGAGGGCCCCCTAAAACCTTACTATAGCCATTAGCCCAGATAAAAGGAGTCTCTAACTACAACTGGCTCTTTGACCCCCGGACAGGATTCCCTGTTCTCGAGCACATCACAGCAGACGGTCTGTCTGTCCTCTGGGCAGAGAAGGGTTAATTATTTCCCCATCACACAGGGAAGTATAAATAGATGCGGCCGCTGAGCTATATCTGTCCATCTGATCATGTGATGGCGAGGTGGCATATTGTGTGCGTCCGTTAAACGGCGACAAAATTCAGTACCCCAAAAGTTTCATAGACGATGCGTTAAAGGAGAACTATGGGGTCAGGCTTTTCCCCATAGTTCTCTTAAGGGTAACGAGAGGACACAAACTAGCGTCCTCCCGTCACCCTAAGCTCAGTATACCGCGAGCTACAGCTCGCGGTATACTGAGGCGCCGCAGCCAGGACGGATCCTGACATTAGTCCTTTAAAAGCCCCCACAGGTCATCAATTTAGAGATACACAAAAATACTGGCCCTAGAATTATTGCTCTCACTCCGGTGTGCGCGGCGATACCCAACAAGGTGTTCGTCGTTTTCATACGTAGGCGCACCCGATGCGTGTCTCACCAGATCACACTTCAATAGCTTATAGCTGGGCTTCAGGAGCCCAGCACTGACAGCCCAGGGACCAGAAATGATGCAATCTGTATCGCTCCCGGTCCCATAGAACGGGGAGTGGCATCTCCTCCCCAGCTTCCCGCCGACACCAAACAAGCCGGTCCCGGGCCCGTAGGAGGGGCAACGGAGCCCGGGGGAACACGGCGGGGGTGTCGGGTGGGGGGGACCTGTTCACCGGCCCGTAGAAGGGTTC